GCAGGAATGTCCTTCTGAAGCCACCGGCTGGAAGGTTTGGGATGGCTCAAAACAGTCAATACCTTTTCAAGGTGAGGCCTACCAGGCGATGCTTAAGAGTGGACTTGATACTGATATTGGGAGGATCTACCAAGGTGAGACAGAGCCCACTCGCTGGGGTTTTTTGGGGGGAAAGTCCGGTGTGAAAGTTTTAAAAATTATTCTGGTAAAATAGGCACGACATAAAATTTACCATTTTAACCATTTTAAAGTGTACAATTCACTTGTATGACCATCACCACTTCCATTTCCAGAACATTTTCATCACCCCGAACAGAAACTCTGCACCCATTAAACAATAAGCCCCCACCTCCCCCCGCCCCAAGTCCCTGGCAACCTCTCTTCTACATTCTATCTCTAGTAATTTGTCTCCTCTAGATATTTCCTCTGAGTGGAGGGATGCAATATTTGACCTTTTGTATCTGGCTTCTTTCACTTAACATGTTTTCAAGGTTCATCCATGTTGTAGCATCTACCAGAATGTCATTCCTTTTTTATGGCTGCATAATATTCTGTTTTATGTAGATACAGCATTTTTTTTTCATCCTTTCACCTGATGATGAAAACTTGAGTTGGTTCCACATCCTGCCTATGGTGTGTGCGAACCTGTAACCCTCCATTCCACACTGGACACTGTTACCTGGCACAGTTGGTCTCAGGACGATGCTATGATGATTGGGTGATTCCTGCAGATGGGATTTAGGGAGTAACTGGAGATGTTTTTTGTTGTTGTTGTTGTTTTGGGTTTTTTTTAGCGGTATGCGGGCCTCTCACTGTTGTGGCCTCTCCCATTGTGGAGCACAGGCTCCGGACACGCAGGCTCAGCGGCCATGGCTCACGGGCCCAGCCGCTCCGTGGCACGTGGGATCTTCCCGGGCCGGGGCACGAACCCGCGTCCCCTGCATCGGCAGGCAGACTCTCAACCACTGTGCCACCAGGGAAGCCCTGGAGATGTTTTAGACTCCTCTCGGTAGAGGACTGTTTTCCCCCAGAAAATAGTATAATGACACCCCAAACTGTTGTGACTGAAGGTAAAGCTTACTAAGCTCGCTGTGGGAATGGAAGCATTCTCCCTATGCTTATTCGCCCTTGCCCATTGTTTATTCTTATCAAGCCCCAGGCATATTCATTTCCCACTTCAGTTCTTTGAAGAAGACTGGCTCTCAGCACCCAAGATGGTATCATCGCTACCATTTGGATCACTCCACCTGTAGGTGAAAATTGCATGTGGCCATGGTATCGACTCCCAGGCCATGGATAACGGTGCTGGGAGCCACACTCTCAGAGGAGGTGGCCCCAACATCTTGGTGACAGATATTCAGATGAAAGTGAAAGTGGAGACAGATGAAAGTGGAGACAAGAGGGGATTCCAAAGGAGGTGAGGCCATGGTGAGAAGTCAGTGGGGACTGAGGTGACAGGGCCTAGGGGCCCTGCTGGCCCAGATCTGAAATGTTAGCTGTAAATTAAATGGGGAAACTTGACCTCACTTTCATTCCCTAACCTGCTCCCCTTTCTGTGGAGCTCCGCACAGGCTTTGGGTCGTAAATCTCTGTGAGCCTCATATTTCCATGGAATCACTCACTATTTGGTGTACACATTTCCATGGTGTTCCTCTGGGGCAGGAAGGAGCTGGGGCTGGAGGTGGGTAGAAACGGAATTTGCACAGGCCAGAGCCTCTCAGGGGCTCGGGAGACCTGTCCAAGGGCCACCTAGAACTTCAGGCCCCACTGGAGTCTAACTCCGTGTGGCAGGAAAATTGAGACGTCTGGCTTCCCCCCAGAAGAAAACCAGGCATCTCTACGGTGTGGGGATGAAAGAGGCTTCCCAGACCCTTTGGACGTAAAGTTTCAGAACAACGGCCCCGAATGTGTAAATGAATCAGAAACACATGTATTAAGTTTCTCATCAAAGTACACACTGGCTTTAAAAATTAAAGGGGAAGGGGAGGGTTTGGCAGGCTGCCCTCTTGTTTTTTTCCAACCCTCTAGTATCTGAAGACCTGTCAGAGGGATTTGCCAAATCCCAAACATCGCCGGGTTCACCCATCCTTAGCAAAAGCACCAGCTACAGTTTCAAAGTGAAATACCACAAAACCCCTATGAACCAGATTTCAGGTTACGCCGAGTTCAGTTTTGTCTGGGATTATGCTGGCAGGGGGGCACCAGCTGGGCCCTCCTGCCAGGACTCCCACCCTGGCCCCTGTGACTTTGGGGCTGCTGGGCTTCAGGCCAACCCCTTACCGTGGCTTCTGGGGTTTGGATGTAGGAGTTGACATCACCCTGCCAGGCCATTCTACTGACCCTCTGGCACTGGGCCAGTTCCTCTGTCCCCCAGCCCAGTGGCCTTTCAAAGACCATCGAGCTGCAACCGACTGCAGACCAGAGTGTGAAGAATTCTTCAGGGCCTCCTAGACGACTGGGGTTCAGAAAAGACCTCAAGCCTTTGCTAAAAGCTTCCTGGTACTTAGTAGGAAGAACTTCATGGGCTTCTGTAGAGACAGGAAGTCCTCCTCGAGATGGCCACCTTGCTTTACTACTCACCTCGGGGGTATGGCCCTTACACCCAGAAGCAGAGGCTCCCTTCAGGAGCAAGCTGGCCTCTGAGCTAAACTCACATAACCTCCTCCGTAAAGCTCCCTGATTTGTCCCTCACGTTTCAAAGCTGTGTGGATTAAACAACTCGAGAAGACCTGAAATCTCTCCTCTGGGGAGACGCCCCTCTTTCCTCTTCTAGAGGATTCACCAAGCCTCAGAGGCTTTCCCAGGATGGTCAAAGAAAAACTGGGAGATAAAACAAGGGAGAAACCCGTCATATCCTCCCAAATTTCTAAAATAATGAACATGGACAGTCGGATTTTCTTGCAGTCCACTGTTTTTTTTTTTTTTTTGCGGTACGCAGGTCTCTCACTGTTGTGGCCTCTCCCGCCGCGGAGCACAGGCTCCGGACGCGCAGGCTCAGCAGCCATGGCTCACGGGCCCAGCCGTTCCGCGGCACGTGGGATCTTCCCGGACCAGGGCACGAACCCGTGTCCCCTGCATCGGCAGGCGGACTCTCAACCACTGCGCCACCAGGGAAGAAGCCCCTGCAGTCCACTTTTCGAAGTGGCTCCTAAGTCTGGAGAGAGCTTCTCTGTCCCTGCGTGCTGCAAGGCCTACCCCACGCCCAGTTCTGGAGCAGCTCCCAGCCTCCCAGCTCCTCCCTGCAGGTGCCTCTGTCTTTACTCCAAGAAAACAGCCCTTGCCAGCGTCTGGCCCTCCCAAGAGGTGCCGGCATCTTTCCCCTAAGGGGTTATATTTCCTCTTTGCTTGGAGTTTCTGGGAGCATGATGATGACCCTGTAAGGCCAACCTTTGTCATTTCTCTACCTCTGAATGGTTCTGAGATGCATTCACGATGAGCTAGACTAAATAGTGTCTTCACCTCTTATCCTTAACCAGGTAAGTTTATTTTTATTCCATAAATGGGTAAAATGATCAATTTTACGTCATGTGTATTTTACCACAATTTTTAAAAAGTGAAAAAAAATCAATAAATCCTAGCTTCAGGACATACAGGAAAATATGTGTGTGTGTGTGTGTGTGTGTGTGTGTAAAACTTTTCTCCCAGAAAGCTCAGCTACACACACCAAAAGGAGTTGGGTCTCTGAACACTCGTTTCCGTCTGTACAGTTGAGGAATCTTGAAGGCCAAGAGGCACAACGACTCACCTTGCAGGTTTATTAGGTTTTTCACTTTTACAAATGCTTCCCATCTACTATGTAGCTTCATCTTTCCTAACATCCTTGTGAGTAGCCAAATGGGCAAAGAAAATGGAAGCCCAGGGAGGCCCCGCGGGCCTGCAGCCTGCCTCGGGGGACGCACAGACGCTTCCCCAGGCCCAGTGAAACAACAGGTCAGTGCCTCTGCCTCGTCCACCCTCCCTCCTCTCTCTGAGAGGAGATTCTCAAATTGCTGGGCTTTGCCAAGTGGGAGACAGTTCTGGGGATGCTGCAGCCTCGCCCTCCCCGTCAGCCGGAGGTGCCCTCCCAGCCCAGCTGCCGACGGGCACCTGTGGGTCCAGCCTTCCCCCCAGAGAAGGCCCCCTCTCTGCTCGCTGCCTCAGCCCTGCAGGGACCGCAGAGCTCGGCTTCCCGCCAGCTGGAGTTGGAAGCCCTCACAGTAACACACACCGCTCAGAGTGGAGACTTTCCGTTTGTTTTAAAGTCCCACCAACTTGACGGAGACACAAGGCAGAATCCTGACCTCATGGGTCTTCAAAAGGCTAACTTTTGCCCACAACACATATTTCCAGTTCAAACTCCAGTGAGATGATGAAAATATAAACAAATAAAACAAGTACCTATAAGCTGGAGAGGCCAGCCACTCCTGGACTATTAAGGTCGATACTAATTCTTTCACTAAATCTCTTTCTAATTCATATTCTTAGTACAGCTTATTGCTTGCTACATTTTGGTTTAATAGTGTAGCTTTCAGGGGCCAGTTTCCACCATCAGAATCTTCCGGAACTCTGCAGCAGCAGGTGCCAAACTCACCTGGAATCCAGGAATATCAGCTTCAGGTCGAGGCTGGCCCTGAACATGAACATGTTGCTGTGCAGCTTGATCTCAGTGATGGCGCTGGGCGGCAGTGACTGGCCCACGGCCACCAGCCCCACGATCTGGTAGCATGAGTCATACAGGGACATGTCCAGCATATATTGCCTGATCTTCAAGTAGCCGCTGCAGTGTATGACCTGGGAAAGCACAGGCAGGGTCAGCTGATGGTGACCCAGGGGTCACACTGGTACCCACTGCTCCTGGCTCTGGGCCCGCTTCTTTTCTGCAACAGGTTGGAATATTCCCCCAGCCCAGCCTCTACTGAGCCATGCAGCGAACATGCTGACAGACATCTGATTCACTGCTCGGAAGAAATGAACTATGCTTCTTTCTTAGGAAACAATATCGTCATAAAATATAAGAGTTATCTTATGCAATTGACTATGCTCAATAACTCCACAAGTGAAGACTCTCTACTATATAATGGATTTATGCATAATTAACTCACGGCCATTGCAATTAGATGGCACAACAATGGCATTTTGGGGAGCTGACCATTTATTCCATAATGTTCACTTCAGTAACTATAAAGCTCATCATATCCCAATGAGATTGAATTTCGCAATTGCTAACTTGACATTTAAATAATTTGACAAGCTATATCACTCCAATAAATGAAGAGTTCTTTCAGTACAATCAAAAAAGCCCTCATTTTTTTTTTTTTTTCCGGCTGTGAGGCATGCGGGATCTTAGTTCCCCGACCAGGGATCGAACCTGTGCCCCCTGCAGTGGGAGTGTGGAGTCCTAACCACTGGACCACCAGGGAAGTCCCTTAAAAAAAAAAGTCCTCATTTTGAACGTATGCTTATTTTATTTTATTTACTTTATTTATGATTCAAGATTTTATCCACTTGTAATAAACAAAAATCCAGCGTGGCTATATAGAAACACTTCTAATTGTTATAGCCAAGAACCATACAGAAGAAAATGTATAGTGTTCCAAATATCAAACGGAAACATTTGTACAGCCCTAAGCTTCAATATTGAAGCATTTACACCAGTTACAGTCAGTATAACCTTTTTTTTTTTTTTTTTGGCGGTACGCGGGCCTGCATATTCTTTGAATCTTTAGCATGTCAGCAGTGCCCACAAATAGTAAGCACTCAAGAAAGGTTTGTTAAGTTTAATTGAAATACCAAGAGAACATTATTCTACAATTTCCTTGCCAGTAAAACACAAATATTTATATGCTTTACAGGGTTGTTAAATTGAGACTGATGTATATAACATTACATGAGGAACATGGAAGCATATCGTCTGACCACATGGGCCCTAAAATATTACTTGTACATCCATGGTCTCTCCTATTCTTCTTTACTGTTCCTGATTATTTGGTGGGCCGAGTCTGTTTTTAGAACGGAGGTAGTTGTAATACAGAGAGAGACCAGAGCAGATTAGGCTATTTGACCCAAAGTTTATAACACCAAGAGCATCTATATTAGAAATTATCCCCTGCATCGGCAGGCGGACTCACAACCACTGCGCCACCAGGGAAGCCCAGTAAAATCTTTGAAAGGATCACGATCATCATAACAGCAGTGATGAACAGCTAACATCTTAAATCCTCTTTTCAAAATCTTTCCTCAGGATTCCTGAATACACTCACAGTCTTTAGGGCTGGAACAAATCTTAGAATCTTTGGAGTCTATTCTCCCATTTTACTGATGAGGAAACTGAGGACAAGGTAGGTGATGGGTTTTACTTAAGATCAGACAGTTGGATGGTTAACTGGGACTCCTGCCCAGTCCTCCTGCCAGGAGGTCTCAGGACCCAAGTCTCCAGAAGAATATCTACAGGGTGCAGGGTGGTGCTGGAGGCTTCCACCTCTGAGGTATAGGGTCTGGGACAGCAAATAAGAAAAGTATCTCCCAATCTATGAAACAGAGTGAAGTAATGGTCAAAGGGAAGAGCTGGCACTGAGGCTCAAAGGAGCGGGGCTGAGGAGAGGCTGAGGGAAGGTGGACCCTGGGATGGGTAGGAGAGGGGAGGGGCTTTCCAGAAAGACAGGACAAAGGGCTAAGGCACAGGACTCTCCCCTCTCTCTTCACCCCACCCCTCCCTCCTTTTATGCAAATTCTCCCGCAAAAAGGCTCCCGTCCGCCTCTAGCCCCAGAGTGGTAGGCTGATGACCCTCTCTCCTCTGAGGCAGGAGGAAGTCGAGGCGCGCCTGCTCCAGCGGTACTGCCCTGCGTGCAATGCAGAACCTGAAGGTGCCAAGGTCAAATTCTACCCTTAGCCCCATTGATTCCTGGCCTCAGACAACGAAATCCAGCCTGCCTGGAATATCCCTGTAAGATTCCAGCTCTCACACTTGCCGTGAGTAGCATCCCTAGAAAGTTCTACATTAGGCAGTGGTGCCTTCCTGTCTGCAGACGTTCCTGAATGTGAAGCAAAGCACAAAGCACAGCGAAGACCCACCGACCCACCGCTGCCCCTTTCCCGCCAGCAAGCCCTTGGCTCCCGGTACCTTGTATCCGCTGCAGGTCAGGCCGGCGTTTCTTTTCGCCAAGACACACTTCATTCGAAGAAAGAATGACCTCTCGATCTCATACTCTGAAAGCAGGCGTGAGGTTAGATTGGCAAACTGTCCCACGATGCTTCCCCTGACTTTATCCCAACACTCCCAATAAACCCTCTGGACCAGATCAGGCAGCCAGAGGCCTTGGCCCAGTCCACCCAGAACCCCACCCAGAAAGGCGGTGGCTAGCACCCGGCGCAGCTTCCACGTGCTCCAGAAAGGGGTAGCCCAAAACATGGCCACAGCAAGACCTTGCTAAACGCCAACCTGGGGCCAAGGTGAGGATCCATGCGCAGCAACCCAGCCCTGCTCAACCTGCCGTGGTCCCCTGATGGTGGCCACAGAGAGGCCTGGTGCCAGGAGCATCGCCTTGGCCAGCCCTGGGCAGTTGTCGAGCCTGCCGGGAAGCCCAGAAGCATCTGACGTCCCCACTCTGACTGACTGAGAGTCAGAAGTGCAGGCCTTTCCCTGGCAGAGGGAGCCGGCCCCAGGGCCCCTCGTGCCAGTGCACCTACGGCCATGGGCACCGAGACTGTCCTGCATCGTGGGATGGGGCAAAGGACCCAGCAGACCCACTGGGCCAGATCAAAGCTTTCACCCTCAGTTACAGCCCTGGATGGATGCCTGCCCCCCCCCCCCCCCCCCCCCCTTTCCTTTCCCCAACGCCTTCCCTCTCTTCCTCCTGCG